ACAAATAATTAAATGAGCTACGGAAAGTGTCCCCCTCCTTGTTATAATAATAATAATAATACGTTTATTGCCCAACAGATTACAAATCCAATTACAGGACAAATTTATAAAAAAATATATAAAACAAATACAAAACAAATATAAAAAGAAAATATATGTACATTATATGCATATAGTATACACCACCTAGTTCCTAGATGCTGAACTTAACAGTAGCACAATTAACAATTTGCGAGAGAGTACTAGCATTAACATCGCAAGTATCAGATATCAAATTGAAATTTTTGCACATAATATATATAGGAGATTTCAAAACTATATTGGTCTTAACCGCTTGACAGTAAAATGTAACATTTTGTCTGGAACTTATTCTAGGAATTTGAAAATAAAACTGTTGCAATAACAAGGGGCAATCTAAATTGTTATGAAATATATTAAAAAGAATTTTTAAACTATTAATAATCCTACGTAACTCTAAAGAAGTAAAATTAAACCTATCAAGCAATACAGAATGATCGTATCCTCTTTCTGGATAAAAATTATCAACTTTCAAACATAAAAACTTGAGAAACTTTCGCTGTACACTCTCAATTGTGTGCTTATGATTTACATACAGTCGATACCAGACAAGCGAGCAGTACTCAAGTTTAGATCTTATAAAAGAATAATAGAGCGTCTTCAAAGCTACCTCATTAGAAAATGAGTGATAATTTCTAGTTATAAAACCAAGCATCTTCAGGGCTGAAGCTGTTCCATATTCAATATGATTTGAAAAGTTTAGTTTTACGTCGAATATGACTCCTAAATCTTTAATGGAGTCGCATCGTTCCAGTATTACTTCATTCAAAACATAATCGTAAATAACGGTGTTACATTTACGGGTGTAGGTTACTATTTTACACTTATTTGCATTTAAATTCAGACTATTATAATTACACCAATTTTCTAACTCACATAATTGCATTTGTAACATTCTACTATCATTAGTGTCCCTAATTTTTGAAAATAACTTTAAATCATCTGCGAATAAAAGTTTCTCGCAGTTTATTATATTAGCAATATCATTAATAAATAATACAAACAGTAGCGGCCCCAAATTCGAACCCTGTGGCACGCCAGAAGTAGCTGTAAAGACTGTTGATTTATGACCAAAGTACATAACAAATTGCCTTCTATCACAAAGATATGATTTAAAAAAATTGCACAAATCGGGATCAAATCCAAGCACTTGCAATTTTTGTAGAAGAAGTTTATGATCAATGCGATCAAACGCTTTCGTAAAATCAGTATATACGACGTCTACCTGCCCTTGAATATCAAGTTCGTTGGCGATATATTGAGTAAGGCAGCACAAGTTAGAAACGGTAGATCGCTTCTCCATGAACCCATGCTGGTCTGATGTTACTAATGATTTGACCGCTGGATATATGCGATTGTACAACGTGATTTCTAGAATCTTTGAAAAATTGCAGAGAATAGATACCGGTCTATAATTACTTATATCAGATCTATTTCTACTTTTAAAAATTGGACATAATCTAGATAACTTCCATACTTCTGGAAACGTAGTAGTTCTTAAAGCTAGATTAAAAATGACACATAACGGTTTAGCTAATACATCTGCACAGTCTTTAACAAAAAAAGATGGAATATTATCATGACCAGATGTCATTTTGTTTTTTAACTTAGCTGTAGCAGAAATAATTTCAGCTTCCGATAGATAATCAATATTCATACAAAGTGTACTCCTCAGATTATCAATAACAATTTTCTCACCATTGTTATTGTTAGATGAGTACACACTACTGAAAAATTCAGCAAACATATTGACAATAGATTCGGGATTATTATAAGTTTTATTATTATACATGAGCGAACCAGGAATTCTCGTTATATTTTTTTTACTATGAATGAATGACCATAAATTTGAAGAATCTTTTACTACTTGATTTTGTACATTATTAAGATAATTTTTATAGGCTGTATTTATTTGTGTTTTTATCAAGGTTCTAAGACGTTTAAACTCTTGCAAAAAGTGAGGGTTTTTTCTATACTTGTACTGCCTACGATATGTATTCTTCAATCTGATGTTATTTTTAATTTTAGTGGTGTACCATTTGGGAAAATTATTTTTAGTTTTGGTGTTATAAATAGGAACAAATTGATTTAAAACTGAATTCAAAGTGCTATAAAATTCTTTGCAAGCATTCTCAACATTATTTATATCCGACAGAAAATTCCAGTCAATACCCAGCATGGCATTATATAGTCCAGGGTAGTCCGCTTTGCGGAAATTATAAGATCTACAAGATGGATTATTAGAAAAATTAACACTGGTTGATGTATTTAATGTAACATTAATCTTGAAAGCTAGGTGGTGTAAATCTTCTCCAACTAGAGGGGTACTATCTCTGATAACTTCACATTGAATATTAGTAAATATTAAGTCTAATATACGCCCATTTGCGTTGACTATGCTATTAAATTGATGAAGATCAGTAAATGACATGAAGTTAGAAACCATTTGACACCTTCTATCCTCAATTATATTATTAAAATTAGTTACATTGAAATCTCCCATTATCAAAACAGTTTCGTTAGTACTTAGCACTTGCTCTAACTTTTCAAAAAAATGTTCTAATTCTGCTAATTCAGTGTTTGGTGGGATATAGATAACATAAACATATAGCGCTTTAGGATTAAAAATACACTTACAGCCAATAATGTCAATATTAGGAGACACGTTTGCAAAGCTACTAAGATTAAGGATGTTCGTATTCGGAATCTTTTCACTGTTGATAGCTAGAAGAGCTCCTCCACCACGAGAATATCCAGTTATTTCGAAATTCCTGTCTGATCTAAACACGTTGTATATGTCTGTAAAATACTCCTAACTAGAAATATCTGATGAGAGCCAGGTTTCAGTTAAACCGATAATATGAAACTCATGACTGCTAACGGATGGAAATAATTCACTGACTTTAGTTCTCAATCCACGCGCATTCTGATAATAGCATGTTAAATCTAACACTGTTTGTGAACTGTTGGGCTCATTTAGTTTAAAGACACAATTTTTGGAATTCCACGTACGTATTTTATTTTCAAGTTAGTTTCTCCATTTGTAATCCGTTCATTTAATTGGTTTTTAACTGAATTGTAATACTCGATTTGTCTTGGTGTTCGATCCATTGATATGCGAATATTTTTATATTTGCTTGTATTCCTTAAATTCTTTGCCTTGTCAACAACTTCATGGGTCATGAATTCGTCTTTAAGAGTAACTTTTATTGGTCTCGGGGTACTTCTATTATGATCGGTTTTTCCTAGCCGAATAGCCTTAACACCTCCATCATCCGACACAGAGATCTCCCTTAGAATGTCTCTGATCCTATCTTTATCCCGTTCAGCTCTTGTTTGGGTACCTGTATTTACATCCTCCTTGACCCCAAACACAATAACATTACACTTACGACGTTGCCTTTCGTTCATTTCCTGCAATATCTCCTCAAACTGGTTGTTGTCCACACTAGTAGAGTTAGTTTGTGCAGCAGTTTTCTTTTTAAGCTCCAAAATTTCATTCTTAAGTTCAATCAGGGCTGCTTGGAGAGCTTGTATATCATTACCTAAGCTCGAACAATTGGCACAGCTCCAAGATAACCCCTTCTTACCATTAATTGCTCTCACTTCTGCCACCGTCAAGTCAACACATGTGTACTTAAATATTTTTTTGCAAATCGAACATCTAACGACTTTATGATCCTCAGTTAGTGAATTGCAGCACGAACATGATAGTGATGGCATATTCATATAGCGACGCCTATGGCGCGGAAGATCACAACCAACTTAAAAACTACACCTGTGCAGAATAACTCCAGTGACAATAAGTAGATGTTATAAAGTGCATATGTGTAAAGTGCACATGTGGATTATGACTTGATCCAGCACACAAAAAGGAAAAAACAATTTAAAATATCCTAATTTAATCTATTTAAATTGGCTACAAACTNTCTCCCATTATCAAAACAGTTTCGTTAGTACTTAGCACTTGCTCTAACTTTTCAAAAAAATGTTATAATTCTGCTAATTCAGTGTTTGGTGGGATATAGATAACATAAACATATAGCGCTTTAGGATTAAAAATACACTTACAGCCAATAATGTCAATATTGGGAGACACGTTTGCAAAGCTACTAAGATTAAGGATGTTCGTATTCGGAATCTTCTCACTGTTGATAGCTAGAAGAGCTCCTCCACCACGAGAATATCCAGTTACTTCGAAATTCCTGTCTGACCTAAACACGTTGTATATGTCTGTAAAATACTCCGAACTAGAAATGTCTGATGAGAGCCAGGTTTCAGTTAAACCGATAATATGAAACTCATGACTGCTGACGGATGGAAAGAATTCACTGACTTTAGTTCTCAATCCACGCACATTCTGATAATAGCATGTTAAGTCTAGCACTGTTTGTGAAATGTTGGGCTCATTTAGTTTAAAGACACAATTTTTGGAATTCCACGTACGTATTTTATTTTCAAGTTAGTTTCTCCATTTGTAATTCGTTCATTTAATTGAATGAATGATATTCGGAGTATAAGTGGTTGTGTGTGAAAGTGTTAATTTAAAAAACTTTTCTGTATGCCGTGTTTAATTGTAGGTGTAAAGTCGGGCGTGTGGAATAAGAAGAGATTTAAGGAGGTATTCAATCGCAGGGGGGATCCTATTCTTTTCTTATGGGACTAAAACACGCTACCAACTTGAAAAAATTAAATTCTATTGAAATTATTTGCGATAAACATTATCTATATAGCAAAGAAATTTACTCAATATGCACATAAGATACATATTGAAAATTAACAACATAAAAATATCATGGTTGAATGATTTCCACGTTGTCGGTTTATAACACTTGACGTTTCGAGACATATCGTTCTCTTCTTCAAAAGTTACTCTGAAACTGGAGATCTACTAGTCCTGTCACTATTTATATTTGTCGTGGTCACTGGTCCATGATGTTCCGGTGGGTGACCTCGTACGCGTTGTTGACGTTCCAGTGGGTTGCTTTCACGGATGTAAATTTCTGTAAATTTCTAAAGCTGCTCGCTCTGTATAGTTGGGGCCAAAATCTTCTCTCTCTCACCACCATGTTGGCTTCACTCAGATCCACTGTGTGTCCTGTGTCCGCCCTATGCACTGCTACTGCCGATTTTTCCCAGTTGTTATTTTTGAGGTGACTTTTGTGTTCCTTTAACCTCGTGTTGATGTGCCTTCCTGTTTGTCCTATGTAGACCTTTCCGAAAGAGCAAGGAATACTGTACACACCGGGGCCCTGGAGCTGGTTGTTGTTGCAGGTCTTTGGAAACGCTGCCGCCACCTTCCTTACAGTACTGAATACTGTGTTGATATTTCTCTTCTTCAAAAGACACCCGGTTTTATCTGTACAACCTTTCATGTAAGGTAGATACGTCGTCGCTAAGTACTCCTGTTTCTCGATGGGTGTTTGTCTCCTCCTGATAGCTCGTTCTATATTTCCCGCCCTGTAGCCATTACCTCTCAAGGCCGTGCGTAGGTGATCTAGTTCTTCGGCCATATGGCCTATGACCTTTCCGCAAATTTCGCTAAATCTTACGATTATTAATATGTGTGAAAATCTAGTTGCATGCATTTTTATAGCAAGGTATAACAAACTTTATATGTATCAGTAAAAATTTCACCGGTTTAACTTGTTATGAACATTTTTATTGAAATAGGGTTGTTACTGTTAACAGGGATAGAATAAAAATGGTTAAAGAAAATCGACATAAAGCAACAAAGTTGATAGAAATCCCAACTGATTCGCAATTCGCATCGCAGTCTCAAATAAGCGATACATAATTTGATTTTAAGAAAAAATTTTTATGTATGGGGCATTGCATGCTAAATCAAATTTCTAATTTTCCTGATTTTTTGGTCTTATACAGTCTTAATTGTATACAGGGTGTTTTGAAAGTCCTTCAGGAAACTCTGGGAGGTGATTCTAAGGATTAAAATAATAGCAGTATGTAAGGAAAATTTTTTTCGAGTTGTCAATTGTTTGCAAGTTACAGCTTGTCAAAGTAATTTTTTTATTTTTCTATTTAAATAACTTATTTAATTCAAGTTCGATTAGTCTCTCATTTGGCACACCCACTAAGTAGATGAAGTTCTATTGGACCAGTCCGAGAAAAGTTTCATTATGCACCACTAGAGGGCACTTTACCTAGAACTCAAAATTTGTTTCATTCATAATGTTTTTCTCTTGCTAGACATCACAGAAATTTAAACATTATTGAAAAGAGAAACAATATCAGAAAAAA